TCCCAAACCCATCTGTAGGCAACTGGATATCCCCTTACAGAAGTGTTCCGAGGAGGAGATGAGCCAGTCAGGGTGCAGTGTAGCAACGATGAAGTGTACAACTTCTGATTCTTAAGTGCTTTCTCCTCCCCACTATCATGATCTCAATTCTACCTTACAAATCTGACTTGACTAGAGGATGTACCCTGCTACATACAGGAACTGGAAACACAGGGAATCCAGGACAGATGAACCTTCAGGACCAGTGGTGAGGGTGGAGATACCCAGAGGGTGGAGGGCAGGTGGGGTAGAAAGGGGGAACTGATTATAAGAATCTACATATAACCTCCTCCCTGGGGGATGTACAACAGAAAAGTGGGTGAAGGGAGACGTTGAACAGTGTAAGACATGACAAAGTAATAATAATTTATAAATTATCAAGGGTTCATGAGGGAGAGGGGTCGGGAGGGAGCATAAAAAAATGAGCTGATCCCAAGGGCTCAATTAGAAAGCAAATGTTTTGAGAATGATGTTGGCAACAAATGTACAAATGTGCATGACACAGGGGATGTATGCATGGATTGTGATAAGTTGTAAGACCACCAATAAAATAATTACAAAAAAAGAAAGAGGTTTAAAAAAAAAAGAAAGAGGTTTATATACAAGAGCAATTGAATATTGAGAAAACTTCCCAGCCCAGTCCAGATCAAGTCCATAAGTCCAGTAATAGTCCATATGTCCGATACCAATCTATAAAGTCCTCTTCAGACTCACGAAACACATGTAGTAATGCCAAATGCAGGAAGATCACAGGCCAGTGGTTTGGAAGTCTTGTGGATCCAGTGGCATTTTAAGTATCTCAGCGCTGACAGGGGTCTCCACTTGATTCCTTCAGTTCCGAAAAACGCTGACTGCCTCAGGGTAGCTTCATGTGACTTCTCAGAAATGTCTTCCAGGGACTGAGACTTGTCAGTAGAGAGTCTCCAAGGGAGTGAGTCCAGAGTCTCACAGGGAGTGAGCTGAGAGACAGACAGAGAGAGAGAGAGAGAGACTCTCCTGCCTCCAAGGAGAAACAAACTGGAGTTCCCAGAATCCTCAGGAGGCCATACCCAGCCAAAGGCCTCATTGGCTATCACCTGATTGAAAGGATAAACTACACCTTTTCACTCTGAATCCTCAACTTGACACCAAATTATGTAACTACCACAGTTTACAAAATAAATACAATACTGTAAATAATCCCTCCTTTATCTATCAGCTAGGTTTTTAGGGCTCTTTTTAACAGATTTTCTACCAATTGTAGAAAAATGTTTTTCTTTCCATTTGACTAATACTACTGCCCTCTTACTAGTAGAAGTCACTAAAACACAAGGACCCAGGATTCAGAGTACCAATTGAGATATTTCACAAATGGATGTAGTGCTGAAGATGTGAGGAATTTGGAAGACAGCAAAGTAATTGAGCGAGATCTACATTTATGGCCGTTCCAAAGAAAGGTGATCCAACAGAATTTAGAAGTTATTGAACAGTATTAACAATATCACCTGAAAGTATGATTTTGCTGAAGATAATTAAAAAATGGTTGCTGCATTGCATTGGCAGAGAATTTTCAGAAATTCAAACTGGAATCAGAAGAGCATGTAAGTGATGGATATCATATTGATAACAGATGGATCTTGGATTAAAGGAGAGAGGACCAGAAAGTATTTTATTGACTTTACAAAAGCATCTGACTATGTGACTCAGCAAATTTTGGATAAGATTGCAAAGAAAAAGTCTCAGATCTCTTTAATTTTGCTTATGTAAAACCTGTATATAGACCAAGAAGCAGTTGTTTCAACTGAACAAGGGCCTAAAATTGGGAATGGTGTGTATCACAGTTGTGGCCTCTAGCTATACTTGCTCAATCTGAATGTTGGGCATATGATCCAAGGAGCTGGACGCCATGAAGAAGAACAAACAATCAGGATCCGAGGAAGACTCTGTAACAGCCTTGCTGATGACAGTGAGGAGGACTTGACATGCTCTCTGATGAAGATCGAAGACTCAAGTCGTCAGTATGGATTGCCTCTCTTAATTATTCATTTTAAAATCATCTTATTGGGGGTCCATACAGCTCTTTTCAAAATATATGCATACATACATTGTGTCAAGCATACAGACACAAAAAAAGGATGAGCAATCATCGGATCTACTTAGAGAAAAGAATTAAATGACTTCCCAAAGGCACTCTTTTGTCCTTGTGATTATTATTTCTGTTTGTTTTTGGATGGACTTTAGGAATTAAGGGCTTAGAGCAGACAGTGGAGCCAAAGAGCAAATGAGTTCTCAATTAAAAATAATTCTAGTTTTTTTTTTTTTTTGGAAAGTGGTTATTATAACAAGAATTGCTAGGTAACTGCTGAAGTTTTAAAGAGTGATACTGTAATAATTTTGTCTATCATTTGCATAGAAGGGATGATCCTTTAAGCATAATGTTTAGGTGTTAGATTATCTCTTTTAGCATAATGTTTAGTTGTCTTAGCTAATTGTCTGGCACACTGAACAGAATAATGACCAACTCTTCTTGAAGTTTGTACTGGAGAACAGGTGGCTGTTTTCCTGCTTTATCTCTGAGGTCCTCAGTAAATTTATTTTGAAAACTTAAGCACCACATTGAATAAAGTTTTATAGAAAGGGCTTCAAAACATTTGTAGAAAAAAATGAGATTTAAAGATAATGGAGTTTGGCATACCTTTTTTGACACCCCCTCATAATTTGAATTGTTTTCAGAATCTTCAAAAGAAATATCCTCAAGAATGTTCCTGTTGGCATTGTTCATACTAGTGAATGCTGAAAACAATTCAAACTACTTTCAAGGTATAGGTACATACACAGATAGTTAAATACATGCAGGGGAATACTGCATACATTAAAATAATATATAGAGCTATATTTAGTGCCATGGAAAGATCATCACATTGTTGACTTCAAAGAGATATACTATGATCTTATGTATATAAAAATCATCTAATATATAAATATATACAGAAAGAAACATTTGGAAGGATAGACAATGTTAATAATGGTTCTCTTTAAGTTGTAGAATTTCAGACTTTTGTTTTCCTTTCATTTTTCTTTAAATATATTTTTCAACTTAACTCAAACTCATTGCCATTGAGTTGACATCAACTCATAGCAATACTTCTAGGGCAGGGTAGAACTTCCCCTGTGGGTTTCTGAGACTAAACTTTTATTTACAGGAATAGAAGCCTCATTTTTCTCCTGCAGAGTAGCCGGTAGTTTTGAACTGCCGACCTTGTATTTAGAAGCCTAATTCAAAACTCACTACACCACCAGAGCTCCTTTATTAATTCTTTACTATTTAGATTTTGTAATAATATAAGAAGGCAAAATACAAAAAAAGAAAAAGAAGAAGGAAAAAATACATAAGGCAATACATGCTGCGATTTGAAACCAGTTTAGCACCTGGTTTCCAGGATAGTATATTTCATGAGAAGATTTCATGGTGAGAGAGCTATCTAGAAAGGCACTCAAAGCTCACTCAGAAAGCGTATTTTCTTTTTCATTACTACGGAGGGGATTGTATGCAATTTGGTTTCATCTTCTCTAGTTGGTCTGCCAAAGAGAAATTGTGGAATGAAAATGCAATCATATTTTGATATCATCTCCAAAACATTATGTAATTCTTAATCCAGTTTTACTCTGAATGGAGAAAATCCCATTTTTCTATATTTCATCACATTTACTCTTTTTGGGTTTCAGGAACCAATAAAATCACGTGCCCCACAGCTGCATTTAGAATACAGGTTTTATAAACAGCTTGGCAGTACAGGTAAGTCATGTCTTTTCTCTCCGTTTTCTTAGCATGTATCTTTGTTGTTGTGACGTGCCATTCCGTCTTTTCCAGCGCATAATGACCGTATGCACAATAGAATGAAACACTTGTCTGGTCTTGCACTGTTCTTGAAGTCCGTTTCATTGAGGGGCTTCCTGGTTTTTGCTGACTACTTTAGGACTGGTCCCTCCTGATAACATATCCAAAGTACACGAGACAAAGTCTCCTACCTACGACTGAGACTCAAGCAAGGGCATTACTGAGAGAACTTGTCTGCAGCCATCCACTGTTCACAGAGACATGTTTAAATGCATTTCATTTGGAATAAACCTGTACATATATGAACTGGGAAAAAAGTCTCCTACCTTAAATACATAAGCTCTATAGGTGGGTTCACTCCCTTTACCAGCCCCTAGATTCCCTAGGAGCCC